CAACAACAACAACAACAACAGCAACAACAACAACAACAACAACAACAACAACAGCAGCAGCAGCAGCAACAACAACAACAACAACAACAGCAGCAGCAGCAGCAACAACAACAACAACAACAACAGCAGCAGCAGCAGCAACAACAACAACAACAGCAGCAGCAGCAGCAGCAGCAGCAGCAGCGACAACGAGGAGGACGGAAGCGAAGGGGTCGTCAACGCGCCCAACAGCGGACATCGAGTCCACCTGCCAAAACAGGAAAGGCAGCAGTGCCATGCAAGTTCTACATGCACGGCGCGTGCCACAGGGACGACTGCGCGTTCTCCCACGACGTGGAACAGGAGCGAAAGACGGAGGTGTGCAAGTATTTCCTCGCCAACACATGCCGCAAGGGGGACGCGTGCCTGTACTCACACGACCTCAAGCAGCTGCCCTGCCGCTACTTCTTCACCGTCGGCTGCACCGTTGATGCGTGTCGGTTCTCGCACGACCCGCTCACCACGGAGCAGCATGCGCGGCTGGCACGCGATCTGCAAGGGTACCTGCGCATCAAGCAGCATGACCCCGGCTATGCAGAGGCCGTGGCGGAACGAGAAAAGCAGCAACACACCGCCGCCAACAGTAGCAGCAGCAGCAGCAGCGCCAATGGTGAACAGGGGTCACAGCTTACACAGCAACAACCCCAAGGACACCAACAGCAGCTGGGGGAGGAGGTGGTTGTGGCAACAGCTTCTACGGCAGGCGGTGGCGGCGGCGGTGGTGTTGAGATGCAGCGGCCACCGACGCCTACATTCGACTTTGATCTCTTTGGTGGCGATGATGACGATGATGACGATGATGACGATGATGAGAAGGAGGAAAAGGAGGAGGGCGATAAAGGAAAGGGAAAAGGAAAGGGGCCAGGTGATGAAGGCGATGGGTTGGGGGATGGCAAGGTGTCGGGGAGTGGGGGAGCCAGCGAAGAGGAGCTGATGCAGCAACGACAGGAGCAGCAGGTGTCGCTGAATGCGCTAACGGCTGTGCTGTTGCGGGGAAAGCAGAAACGGGAGGAGCTCATCGGCGTCACCGCACCGTCACAGTTGAAGTCAGCAGCAGCAGCAGCACACCACCCGATCGCGACCACCGCAGCAGTGGCAGTGCCCACACTTCCGCTCCCTCATGCAGTCACGGGTGCAGGCAGCACCGATGAGGGTGTTGACCAGCACGACACAACTGCCAGCACAAGAGAGCAGCCGCAACCATCATCAACAACAGTAGCGCCACCACCAACGTCAACATGCCTGCCACCACCACTACAGCCGCCACAGCTGTCGCAGCCGATGCCGCTTCGAGCCACGAGCACTCCCACATCAGCGCCCGTGTCACACGCACAGCCGCCCTTCCCACCCTCCTCTTTGCTTGCTCCCCCTGCTGCTTCTTCTTCTTCTTCTTCTTCTTCTTCTTCTTCTTCTTCTTCTTCTTCTTCTTCTTCTTCTTCTTCCGCCGACCTGTCGTGTGTGTTCTTGGGGATTGATCCCAGCAAGAGCGTCTTTAACATATGCAGACGCAGCACCTGAGCGTGATGGCAGCTTGCCAATCACACACACACACACGCACTTTTGTTTTGTTATTCGCTGCTCGTTTGTGTTGTCAGCGTGCTTCGCTTCTTGTTCTTGTTCTTCTTCTTCTTTGATGTCAAGGATATCAGCATTAAACGGCCCAATCACAGTGCTGCGAGTCGATACGTCTCGCTTGCGTCACACGTCCAAGCAACAACACGTTTGCCCCAAACAAGCAAACAAACACACACACACACACACACGCACATGTTGCTCGTGCAAAGTTGTCAGTGTTTGCGCGAAGGAATGTGTGGCGTTTTGTTTTTTCCTTCTTTCTTCGCTGACAACAACACCCAATACACACACACACACACCAGCCAGCCAGTGAGGCCAACCACACCGACCTTGCTTGCTTGCTGGGTTGCCTCGCCGTCCTCCCAAACCGGCCGCGCCTTGACCGCCACCACCATCGCGGTGGTTGACGACACACTCTCACACACGCAAGCACACATCCACACACACACTCTCTCTCTCGCACCCGCTGGATCGTACATACAGAGCCTCAGCCAACTTGTCTTACCCCTCAACCTACCTCGCACACACACACACACTCACACACACACACACTCACACACACACACACACACACACACACACACACAGACACACACACAGACACACACACAGACACACACACAGACACACACACACACGCACACACGCACACATACGCACACATACTCACACACCGCGACAATGGCCGTGACACGGTTGCGTGCACGCGACGAGTACCTGTGCAACGATGAGCAATGGAAGATCGCAGTGCATGCGGAGAAGTGTGCGCAGCAGCGATGGAAGGACACCTTCGAGTGGATGGTGGATGCTGACGAGGAGACCTTGCGGACCATGGAACAAGAGCGGGCAGTCAACCGAAAGCAGCACCAGCAGCAGCAACACCGGCAGCACCGGCAGGGCAGCAAGTCGCGCAAGCCAGCCTCTGCGCCAAGCAAACCCCAGCCACACGCTCACGGACAGAGCCACAACTCCAAGCATGACGCGCACGGGCTTGCACCACCCTCATCAGCAGCTGCGCTGTCATCATTACCCATGCCGCTGTCACCATCCAACAGCAGAGCCCACAGCGCGGCAACCCCAAAGACCAACCGCACGCAAAGCGTCAAGCCCGAGTCCCGGCCTGGCTCAAGCCGGCCACCAAGCAAGGCGAAGGCGTGCTGGGGCCACGCGGCGCCTCCGTCATCATCAACAGCGTCATCAGCGTCGTCCTCCCGTGCTGCCAGCGCCCGCTCAACACGCCCGCCATCCAGTCGTCCAACAAGCTCGCGCCCGCGCATGGCCGCGACAGCAACGCCATCAACCAGCGACGGACACCGCCACCATGGCCACCACCACCACCGCCCGGCTGCGCGTCGGGGCCAGCGCGAGGGCACCTCGTCCACATCCTCCAGCCAGCAGTCGTACTTTACAGCCCGTATCCCGCTCCGCTCAAGTGACGCCATTGGCTGGGGCGTCCAGACCCGCCGCCTCCAACAGCAGCAACAGCAACGGCAGCAGCCTGCGGGCCAGTTCTACGGCCTATCGCGGCCACAGCGCCAGTATGCAAAGCCCTGGCTGACAAACGCAAACCTGCCAGGGTCGCGTCGGCGCAGCACTGCATCAGCGTCCGACACGCGACTTGCAGGTGGATCTCTCCGCTCACCGGCACCTCCCCGCGCCGCGTCGTCCGCACACAGCACAGCATCGTCAACTATGACGGTTGGCGAGTTTGAGGAGAGATACCTCAAGAACCAAGGGCCTGTTGGCAGCTTTGTCGCCACGCCATTCGCGTCAGTTGGGCTCGGCGTATCTGCCCCCGTCGCAGACAGGCACCGCCAGCACGAGCAGCGCATCTTGGACACGCGCCACCCTGTGCTGTCGCAGCAGTCTTCTCGCAGCCACCCGCTGCAGCACACGCAACCAGCAAAGGCCACAACACCCTCGCTCTCGCGTGGGTCAACATCATGCAATTCTGCCACATCGTCACGCCCTGTCTCCTCCATCCAAGCCATCGAGTTGACCACAAACATCTACAAGCGCCAACGCTCCGGCTTCCGCCCAGAGCAGATATAGTCGCAGCGCTGTGCTGAGCTTGTATCTGGGGGTGGTGGAGCTCTTGCTTTGATGGGCTGTGTGCTTACATGGGTGTCTTGGGGATGCTGTGGTTGCTGGTGTTTGGTTGCTGTTCCGTGGTGTATGTGGCTGCTCGTGTGCGGTGACTGTGTCTGTGTTTGCGTCGTTGTTTGTTCCTGTCTTGATGCTTGTGATGCGTGCGTGCGCGTCGTGCGTGTGTGTCGTGCGTGTGCATCCCAAGTGATGCCGCTTGCTTGTTTCGTACTGCCTTTCAGCTCCTTGTGTCGCCTTCATGACCCTTTTTGTTCGTGTCCTTTCCCCCCTCCTTCATCATCACCTTAAGAAGCAATAGTTGGCTCTGTAGCACAGAGTGTTCCTTGTCTGTGTTGCCCCTGTGACAAGGACGAACGATGCATGGCACATCCTTTCTTAATGTTCATTGCCCTTCTTGACGGTCTCACTCGCTGCCTCTGTTTGATTCATTTCCCCTTCGTACAGCACATGAACGCAATGCACAGAGAGACAAGTCCAGCACACAAAAGTCCAGCACACACGCACACACTCACGCACGGTGCTGAGTTGTGGCGTTTCGTCTATTGCAAATGGAGGAAGGGAAGCAGTACTCTTGTGTGTAACAACAACAACAGCTCACCACAGACCAAACAACAGCACACAATGGTGCATGCACAGACAAACACGCGCACACACGCACACAAACAAACACAAGCACACACATGTACAAACACAAACACACACACACATGTACGAACACAACCACACACACATGTACAAACACAAACACACACACATGTACAAACACAAACACATGCACAAACACAAACACAAACACACACATGTACAAACACACACAATCACACATACACACACACACTACAGCAGCCCCAGCACCTGCGCTGTGGTGCACGTGAGAAGGGCGTCGTTGTTGGCGACAAAGACGCGACCAGGCACGCTGGTGATGCTGATGGCTGGCGTGGAAAACACCTTTGCCCGCGACGGAAGCTTGGCCACGGTCTTGGACGCGTGGCGCTCCGAGACATCAAACACCTTGATGGTCAGGTCTGAGGCCACAGCGAGCATGAACGTGCCCACGAGCGGGGCGAGCGCACGCACGCTGCTGTCGAAGAGGTTGATGGTCTTGATGCGCTGATACACATCCAGGTCCACCAGGAACACGGACCCACGGCTCGTAGCGCAGAACAGCTGCGGCGGGAAAAAGGCAGTGAGATGTGGTGGTGATGATCATCGTGGTGGTGGCCATGGGGGGGGGGGTGAGGTAAGAACTTGTGAGCAACAAATGTGCTGGGGGAGGGGGGCAAAGCAACGGGATATGCAAGGGTCCAAAGCAAGCAAGGGAGAAAGAAAGACGCAAACAAGCAAACAAGCGCGCCCACACACACACACACACACACACACACACACACACACACACACACACACACACACACACACACACACACACACACACACACACACACACATACACACATACACACACACAAAACACACACACACACACACACACACACACACACACACACACACACACACACAAACGCGACTCACCGTGTGCTGCTCGAGGCTGTGGTGGAGGGCCTTGATGCTGCCGTCATCGGGCGACTTCGTCTCGTACACGACGGGCCTGGACGAGAGCAGCAGCATGTCAAGCACCTGCAGCCGCGTGTCGCTGCTGTACGCAAACACCGACGGTGCCGCCATTGCGATTGCGTCAATCTTGTGCGAGGACACATACACGCGGCGAAAGTGGTCCTTCTTCACGGCTGGACGAAAGTGCCAGAAGCACACAAACCCCTCGCTGGATGCAGCAAACAGCCGCGAGCCCAGCGGATCAAAGCCAATAAACGCCACGCGAATGTCCTTGGGAACAATGTACCGCCCAAGCACGTAATCATCGCCAACCTTCAGTGCCAGCAGCTCGTGCGGCGAGTCGCCCTGCACAACATACGCCTTGAACTTGGGGTGTGGCGCGATGAGCTTTGCCCGCCACGGCCGCGGCTCAACAGGTAGCGGGCCGCTAGGCGTCTCCAGTTGCGTGACAGTGGCGGAGGTGAGCGGGGTGTGCGGGGACGCGAGCGACGTTGGCGACGCGTCCGGGCTGATGCTGGACAGCAGCGGCGCTGGCACGGTACGCAGGGGACCGCTACAGCAGGGCGCATGCGTCACACCGCCGTGCTGATGGTGGTGATGGTGGTGGTGATGGTGTTGATTGCGGGTCGCACCGCCACCGCCAGCGCCGGCAGCCATCTCGGGATAGAGGTCTTGGATGCTGGAAAACTCATACGTGTCCTTGCTGGTGGCCACAAGCATCGTGCCCGTGCGCATCACACGCAGACAGGCCACGTCGCTGGGGAAGTGGCACAGCGTCTCCCACGCAATGCCGCCATCTTCGCTTGTTGTCGCCGCCGCCGCTGCTTTGGTTATCGCAGCAGCAGCATCATCACTGCCGCCTGCTGTGTCACTCTCACCGCCAGCCTTCGTTACTGCAGCAGCTGCTGAAGACGACGATGACGCAGTGGCAGCTGCGTCCGCTGTCGCCACTGCTGCCACTGCCGCTGCCTGCTGCAGCTCCATGTTCCCGCGCACGAGGTGCTCGACGTACTGCAGCAAGGGCGGGTGCGCCAGCAGCACCGACCACAGCCGCCGCGCATCCAGGCCGCTAAACGGGTTTGACGTGTCTTGCAGCAGCTGCCGCACGCGGAACACGCTGCTTGCCGGGTGCGCACCGGGCGGGCGAATCAGCAGCTCTGCAAACTCGCTGGGCACGGGCGAAGTGTGCAGGTCGGCGCACAGCTGCTGCCGCTGTTGCGCAATGCCACGCAGCACGGCAAACACGTTGCTTGAGGCGCGCCCAAGCTCCTGCACATCAATGCCGGCGGAGGACACGTGCTCAAACACCGTCACCTCCATCAGGCCGTACAGCAGCAGCTCCACCAGCCGCCAGCGGTATCGCCACGACGCGTCCATGGCCACCGTGTCGCGCTCTGCCCGCCCCACCTCCACCTGATCCAGATCGCTCAGGCCGTCCAGCGTGCGGAATTGCTCCTCGTTGACCGGGTGCAGCGTGTATTCCGCAAGCGTGTGCGCGGTCGCCGGCAGCACGGGCGGGGGTTTGCTCAGCACGGATGCCGCCTGCGCCGCGCTGTCAATGTCGACACCAAAGATGGCACGGTACAGGGCCGTTGGCAGCGCGTGCTGCACTGCAGGTACAAGCAACGACAGGTTTCGCTCGTCCCACGCCAGCATCACCAGCACACCGTACACACTCACCACCCACTCCACCAGCTGCTCTGGCGTGACAAAGCACGCGGGCGGGCGCTCGCTCGCAGCAATCTGCCACATGCCGCGCGCAACACCGTCGGCCAGCACGCGGCACGAGCGCATGTGTATGGGCTCCAGCCCACCGGTGCCTTCCGTGAGGCGCTGCGTGAGGAAGTGGAACAGCTGCTGTGACATGTGGTCCAGCAGGCGAGGCACCAGTGCAGGCTCAAGGCCAACGAGGCAGTGCATGCACTCCACCAGGTTGTATGTGGTGAATGTGCCCAGTACAGACCGCTGTAGCACAGCAAACTCAAACGCACGCGCCAACGCCCTGTCCGCGGCAGCAGCGGCAGCGTTTGCATCTGTAACCGATCCCGTTGCTGCTTCTGCTGCTGTTGTTGCTGTTGTTGACGTTGTTGACGTTGCTTCTGCTGCTGCTGTTGTTGTTGACGCTGCTGAGAGCCCAAGACATTGCAAGACCTCAACGGTTTTGCGCAGGAGAGCGCCCGACATCTGCCACGTCACGTTACAATGACCATCGCCCTCGCTGCTGTTGGTGCTGTCGGCAGTGCTTGCCTCTCCTGTCTCAACAACGCTGCTTGCGTCGTGTTGATCGCCAGCTGCACCTCCATGGCCATGGTTACCGTCACCGTCATCGTTGCTGTTGCTGTTGCTGTCGCTGGTGGCATCGAGCCAGCTCGCCAGCCCGCTGCTGATGATGGCGCTGCCCAGCTCCACGCGCCACAGCAGCGTCGCCTCAAACACATCGCCTTCAACAGCCCGCACATCCTCACTCACACCGTCAGCACCACCGGACGCCGTGGCACCACCATCTGCGTCTCTGGCCGTCCCCGTGTCTGCCTCAGTGCTGCTCTCCGTTGCCGTTGCCATCCCTGGATCGCCAAACCCGCCACCAAAGTCATCGTCGTCGTCTCCAAAGGAAAACGCGCCGAAATCAAACGTGCCAGAGTTGATCATGTCTTGCATGTCCATCTTGGGCTGCGCAGGTTCAGCAACAGTGGCCCCAGCACCGCCACCGTCACCACCATCACCATCGCCGCCACCACCACTCGCTGATGCTGGTGTGATGGTCTGAAGGTGTGCGTCCATTTCCTGCAGCACCGTTAGGGCAAACAGCGGCTGCCCCGTCTGCGCGTATGCATACGCGGCACTCAGGAACATGTGTGCGCGCAGCGTGCGCTTCCCTCGCACTTGCGAGTGCTCCATCAGCTGTCGCGCCAGCGTGTATGCGGTGACAGCGGCAGGGTACGTGAGCGAGTGGTTGGTGGTGGTGTCTCCCTGGCCCGCTGCGCTCCTGCTGTTGCTGCCGCTGCTGTAGCCGCCCCTCCCTTCGCTCGCTGTTGTGCGCACGCTGCTTGTGCTCGCCAGTCGCGAATGCGATGTCGATGCCTTGCTGCTCGCACCGGCAGCAGCATCGTCATCAAGCGACAGCGCAGGCTCGGGTCGGTGGTTCAGCAGCACGTCCACAGCGCCCGTGTAGTCGCGCAGGTGCCACAGTGCAATGTGCCGGCCAAACATGTCGCCCGCTGCCTCAAACATGGGCAGCAGGCGCTCTCGCAGCAGCTTCTGCAAAGGCGTCATCGTGTCTTCGCCGTCGCCACCCTGGCCACCATCACCACCATTGATGGTGGTGGTAGTGTTGCTGCTGCTGTTGTTGTTGTCACTTTTGCTGCCTGGGGTTGCAATGCCGACACGGCTGTCCTCGCACAGGCGGCAGATGGTGAGGGCAAGCTGGGGATCACGAAGACTCTTCACCAGCACGTTCAGCGCGCCGTCCAGATCCCCACCAAGCAGGAAGAAGGCGGCAGCATGCAGGAACCGCTGTTTGCTCAGCAGCGCATAGGCGTTCTTCAGCGCAGCCGTGCGCCACCTCTCCTGCTTAAAGTCGTGCCGGAAAAACCCGTTCATGCGATCATCGCCGGCAACTTTGAACAGCCCGGCAAGCAGCGTTGTCTTGCCCAGGGCAACGTAGAACAGCGCCACGTCCAGCAGACTCGTTGAGTCGCGCTTGTACGCGCCCTTCATCACCCGCTCGATTGTCTTCTTCAACAGCGTGATGGAGGTCACCCACCAGCCAAAGCCAACAGCGCGCAGGGCAGCCCAAGTCAGCGCACCCTGGCCATCGCCACCACCGCCACCGCCTGGTGGGACTGCTGGTGCCACGACCTCGAGCAGCACGTCTTGCGCTTCAGAATGCAGCGCCCACACGAAATCTTTGGCGTGCATCGTGGTGGTGGTGGTGGTGGTGTTGCCGTTGGTGCCGTCGCCGCTTCCCTTGTCGCCACCTGTACTGGTCCCTCGGCTGCCAAAGTAGGAGGAAGTGCCATGTGCTGCGTTGGACGACTTGCCAGCAGCCAGCTCGCACTGTGCACGGAACAGGGACAGGCTGACGACAAACCGAAGCCCGCACGCGTCGAGCGAGGTGCGTCGTGCATTCAGTTCCTGCGCCGCAGACAGCAGGCCACGCAGTGCGTACGTCTCCTCGTCAGTCAGCCCGGCCAGGCGCACGCGTGAGAGCGATTTCGTCAGGGCGGCCAGCTGGGCTGGACTGGTCAGCAGCGTCGCAGCGTCCACATCGCCTAGCGCCGTGCTGCCGTCCGCTGTTGCAGAGGAGAACAGAAGCGACTTGTCTGCCTTGGTCTGGGCCGCTCCCGCGCCAAACAGCCCCGCAGCAGCTGTCGTGGCCGCCGTGCTGTTCGTTGTCGTGCTGCTGCTGCTGCTGCCGTTTGCGGTTGTGCTGGCGGTGTTGCTTCCCGAGCCATCGCTGGACACACCGAGCAAGCGTGCGAGCTCTGGCAGGGGGATGGCGCCCACATCCACGCACGGCAGACCTTCCTTCTTTCGCGTCTCGTGGAAGCGGCGTGTGGCGGTATCGTCATAGATGTAGGACATGGCCTCTTCAGCGGACGTCTTGAGCGTGGCGAGTGCAGCCGCCACCTTTGACAGCACAGCACCTGCTGCATCCTCACCGCTGGGAAGACACAGCATGTGCTGCAGCACGCTTGGGTGGTGGGGCGGCAGGGTGCGGTTGTGCTCGTTGGCCCGCTGGAAGATGCAGGGAAGGAGGGAGCGTTCGTGGCCAGTGCGTGTACTGGCTGCTGCTGCGGATGTGTGTGATGCGTTCCCTCTGACGTGCACGTATGCCACGTCCGTGTCCGTGTCTGCAACGGACCAGCTGGAGTGAACGGTGATGCGCGTGCCATATGCCGTGAGCAGCACGCCGCGGGGGAGCATTGCAATGGAGGTGGGTGTCCTGGTCATGGGCACGCGTGCCACCTCCACCCACGCGCCATCCACGCTGCTGCTCGTCTGGGACAGCACGTGCACGGCGTCGGTTGTGGACACGGTGAGCAGGTCGTTGGCGCGGGAGGTGGAGCACCACGCCACGTGCCGCACTTGGCTGTGGAAGGTGAGGCACGACTCGAGCCGCCAGCGGCCGTGGTCGCTCAGGGCCTCCCACACGCCAACAGAGAAGGTGTCCTGCACATGGAACGACAACGACGCGTCGCCAAACACATCCCCATCGCCATTGCCATCGCCACCGTTGCCATCGTCACCATCATTCGTGGCGGTGGCTGCTGTGGTGGCTGTGCCATCGGTTGCTGGCGTTGGCATGGGAGCAGCAAGCCGCCCAAGCGAGCTGAAGGCCGCGGCGGTGGCGCCGCGATTGCACGGCAGCGTGTTGCTCAGCGCCAATCCAGGCAACATGGTGACACTCACGCTGGCGTCAGGGAACGCAGGCACCTCGTCACCATCGCCACCATCGCCACCATCGCTACAACCAGTGCTGTGCGTGCGCATGTCTGGGCTGTGTGCAATGCGCGCTGTCCAGAAGGTGTTTGCTGCTGTGATGCCGCCAACGTACACGGCTGACCACGGCGCATCGAGTCGAAGGTCAAGCACGTCGTGGCGTGAGAGCGAGAGCAGGTGGGTCGTATCAGCGGCACACGCGTCCGTGATACCCGGCATGAGCCGCTGTACACACACGCGCGTCGGTGGCGTGACGAGCAGGATGCTGCCGGGCATGGACAGGCGGTGCTGCGGAAACACGGCCCGCTTGGTCCGCACGGGCGAGCAGTGATATGACACGCAGTACAGCTGTACATGCTGCTGCTGCTGCTGCTGCTGCTGCTGCTGCTGCTGCTGCTGCTGCTCTGAGATGGTGATGCCGACATTGGCAGAAGTGGTTGGAGCTGTCATGGCGAGGAGGAAAGACGCCTCACCGCTGTCGCTCGAGCGGAGTTGAGACACGGCAAACGTACACGATGATGAGGATGAGGATGATGATGATGGTGACGATGGCAACGATGGCGTGTTGTCCTGCGACTGCAGTGGCACAAGCACACCACAGGGCACGACACGATGCACGACTTTGTCCTGGTGTTTCGGCGCTGTCATCCTGCTGCGCGTGGCCTGGCAGTCGAGGGCAAACAGCTCCAGCCCGCGTGCCGTCTGCACCACCCACGCCACGGCGTGTGTTGATGGGACGAACGCGGCCTTGACAGGCGCGCTGGTGCTGGGGACATCGAGTCGTGCCAGCTGCAGCAAGCCGCTCGCCCGAGCGGTCTCTGGTATCACGCCCATGTCGTTGGCCTGTGTGTGCGTGTGTGTGGTGTTGTGACAAGAAGGAAAACAAGAAAAACGGGCGTGAGCAGTGTGCAAGAATGGAGGGCAACAGCGCACTCGAGCAGTCTAGCACACTAAACCAGGGAACAAGACGACTCAAGGTGTACCTCAATACTTCGCTTCATCTCACCTTCCAGAGAACCATCTGTGTGCGGCCGTGGTGCGTGGCTAGGGAGAGAGCACAGGGCAGTGTCGGGTGGGCAACAACGGCACCGACGTCAGCAGTGTGGCCCGCGCACCTCGCAAGACACTCCACCGTGGACACGGACGAGAGCGCCGACCCGGGGTCAAACGACACCTGCCACTTGGCCAGCACACCAGAGGAGTGGTGCAGCTCAAGCATGATGGGGAACGAGTCAACCTCGCCATCGTCGTCATCGCCGTCACCGCTGCCACACGCAGCACTGGTGCGGGAGGACGTCGGCGCGCGAATGGTGGTGGCCAGGCGCCGGAACTGCTCGGCACGCCTTGCCATAACCTCACGCGATGCGCCATGCATGTCGGGGAAGTGGACGAGGACGCGGTAGCAGGGGGAGATGGCGTCCGACAGCGGAATCACGGGCGGGCTCCGGGACAGCGACTTGACAACCAGGTGCACCCTGATGTGTGTGTGTGTGTGTGTATGTATGTATGTGTGTACGTGTGTGTGTGTGTCAGTGAGTGTGTGTGTGTGTGTCAGTGAGTGTGTGTGTGTGTGTGTGTGTGTGTGTACGTGTGTGTGTGTGTGTACGTGTGTGAGTACGTAGCGGCAGCCTGCATTCCACCGCATCCCTTGTCGACCACTCATGTCGCATGTGTATGTGTATGTGTGTGTGTGTGTTGAGCGTCTTGTTACCTTGGGCTTTGATCGAGGCCGTCCACGCACCAGAAGGCGAGCGAGCCGTCAGCGCGCACGTAGAACACAAGCTCGGGCGGCGCCTGTAATGACGTGGTGGTATTGGGTGGTGGTGGTGGTGTGAAAAGGGGTTGCATTTGAGTCAACTGTGCGCGCATGCAATGTCACACAAGCAATCACGGGGGTGTTGTTGAACGTACTGCGTCGTATGCGCGAATGCGAGGGAGGATGCGGCGGCCAGCGAGGGTCTTGGGCGCTTTGTGGCGCCCTTTCCGCGGCAACTGGGGCGCAAACACATCGCCTGGCGTGGTGTGTGTGTGGGTATATGTATGTGCGTGTGTGCGTGTGTGTGCGTGTGTGTGCGTGTGTGTGCGTGTGTGTGCGAGTGTGTGTGTGATTGTGAGTGGTTGCAGTTTTGTGTTGGTGGTCAACGCATTGGATGCGGAATTCACAAAATGCAAGAAGAGTGCAAACATGGACACACGTATCATTGAGCAAACGCATTGCCGGTGTGCACCCACCCCTGTGCTGCCCCTGCTGCGTGGATGGGGTGTCCGCGCGTGTGCGTCCCAGGGTGTTGAGGGCGGTGCTGCTCGGCTGTGCAGACAGGCTGCGACCAAGACTGCTGCTACCACCACAGTAGTGCACCGTGTGACGAAGAGCAAGGGTGAGCAGGGTGCGTGCGTGCGCGACAGTCAGTAACTTGTGGGGAGATGTCAAACACGGCAGCATACACATGAGCATATGCGGAGCGAAGCACACACGCGCATCAAAAATGAATCCACTCACACGCACACTCGCAAATACACACACCATCACAATCATGCACACCATCACCATGACCACGATAGCTCGAATGAGCAAGAGAGGGGCGGGGGCGTACTTCATGCCGCGCCTGCTGCGTGATGTGACGTTGAGGCCGACGATATCGCGTGACGCATCAGGCTCAACCCCCGTCCGCAGTGACGCCTGATCAGAGGTCGCACGCATACCATTGCCACCACCATCATTGCCACCACCATGACCAGCGGTAACGTCGTCGCCGTAGGCGTGGTCGTGGTCGTGGTCGTGGTGGTGCGTGGGGTTGGTGGTGCCGGCTGTGGCGACGGATGCTGTTGCTGTTGGCGCAAGTTCCGACGACACGGCGCTGGCTGTTGTTGTCCACGCGCGCTCGGCCGGGTTGGTGAAGCTCTGGCAAACATGGAATGGAGCAGGAGACGAAGAGAGAAGGAGCGTGTAAGAATGTGTTGTGTGTTGTGTGTTGTGTGTTGTGTGTGTGGTTGTTCTAACCCTGAAGTTGAGCCAGTGGAGGACAAACGGAAGCTGCACGGAGTTTGCTTGCGACTCCGGAAAGTCAGGTGGAATCGTGTCTGAAACAATGCAATGGGTGACAAGTTGGACAGCTGGTGAGATGGCTGGCTGGAGAGGTAGGTGGAGGAGGAACACGTGAAAAGGTCGGTAAATGTATGCCACACACGGGCAAACACACCCATACAAAACACACACACGCGCACAAATACACACATAAATACGCGCACACACGCACACACGCGCACAAATACACACACAGAGGTACAAACACAGGTGCAACAACACTGGGGCGAACAGGGTGCTCACATGCGCAGAAGAAGCCGAGCTCTTCGTAGGCGGAGGTCTCCGTCCAAATGCGACACATGTTGTCCGCACACGACGTCAGCAACGCATTCCTGCGCACGACAGGGTGGTGGTGGTGGTGGTATGAGGACATGAGGGCATGTCATGGTGGTGAGCATGTACAAGTGGAAGGAACGATACGAGAACACATGCACATGCACACACATGTACATTTGTACCTTCCCTCACATCTTACACCTCACACTTCTACAAGCACATGTGTTGTACACGATCACACACACACATGCACATACACATACACACACATACACACACATACACATACACACATACGCACACATACACACACATACATACACAGAGCCACACCTTGCGTTTGGGCGCTCTGCTCGCCATGAGAGGGAGGTGACGGCGCGTGGGTGCGGCAGGTAGATGAAGTCAAACAGCGGATATGTTGGTGGCGGGCTGCTGCTGTCACGCGCGCGCCGCCGCTTGTGTCGCGGATACCACAGCTGAAGGGGAGCACATGAGTGTATGTGTGTATGTGTGTGTGTGTGAATGTGTGTGAATGTATGTGTGAATGTGTGTAGGTGAGAGTGGCGAGAGAGTAGGGGTGACAACACATGTATGAGAAGCATGAGGAGGCATCGGGTGTGGGCAGGCGACACGTTGCCACTGCCGATGTGCACCACCTTTGGCAGGCGGTCGTGTGGGCCCGCAGAGACGAAGAACGTCCCATCTGATGGAGCAACGAGGGAGGAAGAAGCAAAGTGGAGGGTGAGGCGAACAGAAGCACACGGGAGCAAAGGGTGAGGGCAACACGTCCACAACACGGAAACAGGGGTAGGGTTGACACATTCTTACATGCAAACACACACACACACACATGCACGCACACATGCGCACACATGCACACACATGCACACACACATCACACGCACACACACACACACGCACACATCACAAGCACGTATGCGGCAGACCTGGGGAGAAGTGCAGGTGGTGCACTGGTGTGGCTGTTGCTTTGATCCAGAGCGGAACGAGGCGACCCTTGACGATGTCTGCATTGCACTCCGCCGCCGTGTACGCATCATCCACCAGCGCCTACATTCACATATCAATGCGCATGCATGTGTGTGTGTGTTGAGTGTGTGTGTTGAGTGTGTGTGTGTGTGCGTTGAGAGTAGATGTGTGTGTGTGATAAGCAGCGTGTGGATGTGGCTCTATATTGCTCTTCTCCATCCCCCCCCCATCATCTCACCCCATCCGCGCAACCCCACGTGTCGTCCCCATACCGCGCAACACCCCTCCGCGCCACCTAAAGGAGCTTACCATGTCGCACCACAGCGTGATGTGGTCGCCGCCGGTGAGCAGGCGCCCGCCGCGCGAATCCCACGACAGGCTCATCACATTGTGCGTGTCAAACTGGATGACCACGTGCTCCCGCCATTGCAGCGTCGCGAGCTGCCACACAACCAGATGGCGATGGAGACGCACCGGTGAAGGGATGAGGGGGGGGGGGTGATTGTGCATGCACGCACCAAGGTGACATGAAGCAGGGAGAAGGCGTGCAAGAGCAGGTTGAACTCGGACGCACAGTCAACATGAACGCACGCACAGGGTTAACAGTACGCAGTACTCAGTCAACAGTGCACAGTGCACAGAAACAAATGGACCACACACCTAGAAAACAAACACACAGAGAACACACCTCGGTAGGCGTGGAGCTGTCTGTTGCGGCTGCGTGTGGTTTGTACACAACAACCTCGTTTCCGTGCGACACCGCCAACTGTGCACAAGCAACGCGGGCGTGTGATACGGTGTTGAGTTGACCCAACAAAAAAAACGCCGGAATGTAGAAGCGGGGACCATGAAGCACGAACAGGAACAAGCACTGCAGACGTGGTCCACTGCGCGCACGCAATACAGGAGTTCCCACAGAATGACGACTTGCTGGCGCACTCACTTTGCCGTCGAGTGGGGAGCAGTCGATGCACACAATGTCGTTTGGGTTGCTTGGTCGTCGCACAGACTGGATGTGCGCGAAATCCGGCGACAGGAACACGATCGATGATCCGCAAGCATACGCCTAGTTGAAACAGAGATGACACGTCGTGGCAAGTAGTGGTATATGCGGTGAGCGTCGACCAAACACACCAAAACCACACACGCACACAAGGAAACGCACACAAGGAAACACACACAAGGACACACACACGAGGAAACACACACACACACACACACGAGGAAACACACACACACACATACATACACACACACGAGGAAACACACACACATACGTACACACCGTGAATCTGAAGGTGCCAACGTAGCCGTCTGCCAGAACATATGGGGAGCTGTTTGGAGCTCCTGCGGAATGGATGAGAGGGCAAAAGGAAGGGGGTTGTCCCTCAAGGTGAGTCAGCGCTTGGGTGAGAAGAAGAGATGTACTGGGTGTACTGCTGACGAGAACACACATCATGCACAAGACAAAACAACTCTTCCACACAATGGCAGCGCTCGCACACAAACTCGATCAACAAGGGTACGCACCGGTGATGAGCTGTTCTTCCCGCATTGTGGCGGGGACCGTTGGTGACTCGAAGCCCAGGAGCGTGGAGCTGAGGTGATGCGGTTGAGGTGAGAGGATGAGGACAGGCAGAGCAGGTGAGGTGGGTTGCTGCTGGTGCTTCACTGCTGGTTCTGTGCCCAAGTTGCAAATTGCACCAGCAACTGCGGCTTTGCCAATTGCAGCCAGACAACAACAACAACAACAACGCCCACACATCCCCCCCCCCCTTCACCGCCGTCATGGTTGTGGTTGGCCTGCGCAAGTCCGACATCAGGCTGACGGAGCTGGTTTCCTTCAAGGGAGGCTTTGGCTTCTTTCACGGCGTGGCCCGTGTCCGTGCGGTGAGTTTGATCCAGGCGCGGGGGAAGAACGGGGGGAGTGTGGTGCAAAATGCGCAGTGCTTGTGGTTGTCTGTTCGTGTGTGCATGTGTGTGTGTGCGTGCGTGTGTGTGTGTGTGTGTCTGCCTCTGCATCTCTCT